GGGGCTGAAGCAGCCCTTTCAGCAGTAGGATGGTTATAAAATGTGATCTTGGGCACCTGAAAGGCAATGAGAAGCTCTTAGCCAGGGTCCAAAATGAAAGCAACTAACATTTACAAATTAACATTTAAAGAATTGAAAATTCTCAGCTAACGCTTAAAGATAGATAGATCATCCCGTCCTCAGGCATGCTGTCAGTTTGCATGTCTCTGGGACTGGGGACAAATCACAGCCATCCTCTGATAAGGTTTAGGGCCCCTTCTTCCTGTTCCTTCCTGTATCAGACCCACAAATAGAGGGTCTGAGCTGCTCAGGGGTTTGAAGCTGTCTGTGTGTATCTTCTGCTAGCTATTGTGTGGTTCCTAGCCTGTGTCATAATCTGTCAAAGCACAGTGCTCATGCTATACTGCCTTACCGATACACATTTCAGATTTTGTTTATGGATTAATAATATTGACAATAATGTGGTTTAACAACAATCCAATAGGTAGGGGTTAAACTGAGCATAATCAGTATGAGTTACCATTCACTAAAAAAAGCAAACAGGTACTATTATCTGTATGTTACCATGGAAATATTTTTGGGACCAGGCTTGCAATCTTTTTGCCTGAATAGTTCTTGTTCACCCATGAAGTACCACTGACTGCAATAGGGATGCTATTGCTATAGTCAGGTTTGCAAGATAAAGCCCTAAGTTACCTTGAGGACTAGTTCTTTTGAGTCCCTTCTAAAGCTCCAAGGATTCTCCCTTTTCTCTTTATTCCCCCAGATCCTCTCACTCTCCAGACCCTGCATGATAACCCTTCCTTCTGACCAAGGAGGAATGGATGGGCTTTGGACAGTGTGGTACAGGGGATTCCCTCATTACAAGAGGGAATGTTCTGCAGTCCCAGCATTTAAGGATGGAATTGGGGTCTCAAACACAGATCCAGTGCATGCTGGACTGTGGGAGTAGCAGGTAGCTACGTCTTTTCATAGAATCACCAATATTAGAGCTAGAAAGAGCAATTAGTGCACCATTATATAATCCAGCCCCTGCTCAGCCAGTGCAGGATGAAACAAGTTTATTACATAGCTTTTTTATAAACCTCATTAAATATAGATTATCACTTACTGGGGAACCTTCCTTGAAAGCCATTGGTAGAATAACATCTTATGGCCCATCTGCCATTCTGCTAATGGCAGAAATAGGGCGGTCTCTTGACTACATATAGCCTTGACACTAAATCCACATAAAGCTAGTGGGCAGTCATGCCGAAAGCTGACAGACGGATGGTTAGTGATTTAGTTGTGAAACTTGTCATCTGCAGCCAAAAATTAAGGGGGCTTATTTGAGAACAAATTACGCTCTAAGTTCTGAGCGAAGCAACCAGCTGCTGCAAAATGTGCTGCAAAGAATCTGTTTCTGATCTGAAGTGTCTCTTTTCTGGAATGCAGACCTGGGAATGAGAAAGCGAGCCACACAAGCAGAGCACAGGACAAACAATAAGGGCTAGATTCTGATTTAATTTACAATGGGGGGGGGGGGGGGGGGGGGAAGGTGAGGGAATTTACGAGTTGGTTCAGATTGTAGTTGGTGTAAATAAGGACAGAATCTGGCCCTAAAGAACTTATTTTTTGGGCATGTGAGTTGATTCTATTGATCTGTGGACAAATTGAGCCTCTAGCTCTTTTGTATTCTGTATTAGTTTCTACTGCAGTTACCACTGTCTTTTAATGAGCTCAATATGTGGACTGATATTTTATCTCAGATTTCCTGGAGGAATTCTAGCTTTCAGACGTAGCTGGTACACCATGTTGTTTCTAGAGGTACAGTGTATCTTAGAGATAATCAACTGGTGTGCATAGAAACAGAAATAATACAGTAATTTTGCCTGTTTAACAGGCCTTGCATAGATAAAATGTAAAAGTCACGTTTTGAAATGATTTCTCTGAAGGACTTGTTTATGCACTGAATGTTAACGAATTCTACACACATCTTCTGTTTTCTGGGTTTGTTCATTTTGAGTTAAGTGAATGTGAACTCAAATATTCCTTTAATGTTTGAGGCTTAATTGTACTTTTAACTAATGAAATTGCACTTTTTAAAAGGTCATTATGGGGTTATGGGCCTCGTTCTTGTGCTTATGTATGACACATGTATAAAGCTACTCACAAGCATACATGGAAGGACATAAGTGCCATTGATTATGAAAAAGGAGATTTCTGACACTTTGTAATTAAAATAAATACCGTATGAAGGAAAATTATTCTTGTTTACTTTCAGAAAATGTGAAGCTAATACTCATTTACAGTGAAATCTGTTTGTGTGCTGAATCGCTCTTAATTTAGAAATGCTGATCTATATAATAAACGTTATATAATAATATGATTTATACTAAACCATCATTACTATAAGGTGGCTCTGGGCACATTTAACAGCATTTCTACCCAGTATCTGACTGAATTAGGTGCGATGTTATTAATTGCTGAGTTTGGGTCAGAAATGGCTAAGGAAGAATTTGTACAATCCACCTCTGCCTTGCTGTCCAGCTCTGCTGCATGACTCCTGAGCATCAGAAGCAGGGACTGCTGATTTTACAACTGGAAAATAAAATATTTTTATAGCTAAGCTGGAAGTTGTGTTGTTGTTGGATCCTTGCCATCTGTGACAAGACATTTCTGTCCTATCTGCTATCATTCTGGCATCCATCCCACTGAGGTCCCAGCACCACCTTCTGTATCCACTCCATAGAACCACCCCAGCTGTGCTGCTGTTGTGGCTCCTCAATACACAGGTACATCTCCCCTCTCTTTTTGGATAACCTGGACCCCCTTCCTCTCCCCTAGATAAACCAGCCCCCTTCCTCTCTCCCAGGGGAAATCTATCCATGTGTGCACTTCTTCAAAGAAAAGGGAGAAGATCCCTGAAGCCTTTTCCATGGGACCCTGCAGCCTACAGTCTTCCCCAAAGGACCCGCCCCCTCTCCTGTCCCCTAGGAGACCTTCCCCACTCCGGGACCCTGCCCCCACCTCTCCCGCAAGGGACCCTCCCCCTCTCTTGGGGATCCTGTCCCTGCCCTGCGCTGCCTCTCAGCCCCGCCAGGGGGAGGTCGCGCCCGGCTCTGAGCCCAGGGCGGGGGAGCTGGGGCGGTCCCCGGGGTTTCCTGGCCCCGCCCCCGGTCCCCCTGCCAG